TCAGCTGTTTTGCGCCTAAGAAGTGTAATGGCCTACATGGGATCATCACTAAAGAATGCAGTCACTGCTGCTGGTTGTAGTGTACAGCAGGCAAGTGCTGTTTCTTTCAGTGATTGTTATCCATTGTATTGTGCTTCTGTTAGTGGCAAAGGGAGTTTAAAAAATGATTCAACAAATTTTGATATTTCACAACCTAAATTGTGTACAACAAAAGATGATTTTTACTCTGACTTTGCCTCTAGTTATGTTTTGCAGCAAAAGAACATTTCTATGACCAGAAAAAGCACTTCTTGTAGTTCAGGCCTAAGTTTCTTTCACTTTAATAAATTTTGTTTACTAAAAGATCATGTAGAAAGCAGTGAAATTAATTGTCAAGTGAGGAAAAATAAGTCTATGTGTCCTATTCTGACTGGAGGGGGGTCCGAAATTGACTGTAATGCACCATCGCTTTATCCTAGAAAATGTGATATTTGTAAAAAAAACTATAAAACTAAAAATTCTTTTAATAATCATAAAAAAAATTGCAAAGAAAAACTTGAAACTGAAAATTTTAAACTTTCAATAACTTCTCCTCAGAGTAATATTCTTATAAACATTGATAATGTATTGAGTGCTAAAAAATTAGAAACCAAAGAATGTATTAGTGATAAAATAGAAATGGCTTATCTTCGTAAATGTGAAATATGCTTGAAAACTTATAAATCGAAGAATTCATTTTATAACCACAAAAAAAAAAAAAAAAAAAAAAAATGTTCAAATAAACAAGTACCTGATTTAAAACAAAATTTTTCATCTGTTTACCCTCGGAAATGTCTAAATTGTAATAAATGTTATCCTTGCAAATTATCATTTTTTAAACATAAGAAATTTTGCACAGAAGTTAATAAATTGTATGTATGCTTCATACCTGATTGCCATAAGTCTTTTACATATGTTTTAAATTTTAATAAGCATTTAGCAGATGAACATAATTTAAATAACTTAAAAGAATATTCATTTGAAACAATGAGTTATTTTCAAGATTGGCTAGAACTGGAAGGAACCTCGACATTTACTTCATTCAGAAAGTTTTCTAAAGTAACGAAAAATTCTAAAACTTATCATTATTATTGTTGTCAGTTTACCACGCAAGGTTATTCTGATTTTGAAAAAAAAAAAACTAGTCGGAAAAATGAAAAAGGTACAGTTTCAAAAAGTGTATGTTGTCCAGTCAGAATATGGGCTTGTGAAGAAATGAATAAAATCTCTGTTTTTTACTTTCCTAAACATAATCATGAGCAAAAGTTTGAAAATTGTAAATATCAGCCATTGAAACAAAGTACGCGGTGTTTGATAAAAGCAAATTTACGTTTGTCTGTGCCTCCACAAAAAATAAGGGATATCTTACAAGATGGATCAGGAAATCGCGAGAATAGAAATAATTTCCCTGTAAAGGAAAGCTTTGTCTCCCGTAAAACTATTTCTGCTTATTCTAGATATTTAAACAATTCATTGCGTCCAAGTAGTGATGCAGTTTCTGTTAATTCAATCATTGAAACTTTAAAATGTGAAGCATACAATCCTGTGTTATTATATAAGCCTCAGAATAATTCAACTTTGTACGGTCCAACTGATCTAGATAATCTTCCAAATCATAAAGTATCGTTTGCTCTTGGTCTTCAGACGCGTGAACAGAAAGAAATGATGATAAAAGGTTGTACAGAGATTTTATGTATCGATTCTACACATAAGACTAACCAGTATGATTTTTACCTTCTTAATCTTATAGTACCTGATGAATTTGGTTGTGGCTATCCAGTTGCTCATTTTATTACTAATTTTCTAGATGCTGACACTCTTTATTGTTTATTTAATAGTTTAAAGTGTCGTGTACCAAATTTATATGTAAACTGTGTAATGACAGATGATGACAAAGTTACATATCCTGCATTTTCAAAGGTTTTTGGTCAAGATGTTAAGCATCTTTTATGTTCGTGGCACGTACGCCAAAGTTGGTTCCGGCAACTAAATTCTAAAGTGGTAGATAAGGAAGTGCGACAAAAAATGCTAGGAGAATTAACAAAAATATTACATGAAAGAAACCAGATCACTTTTCATGATCAAATAAGTAAGTTTTTGAATGACTATTCTAGGAAAAGTAGAGATTTTATTGAATATTTTTCTGAAAATTATAAAAATAGATTAGAGGAATGGGCTTTGTGTTATCGGAACTTTCCACATGCATTTACTGATACTAACATGTACTGTGAATCTTTTCACAATCAGTTGAAAACTGTTTATTTTAAGCGGAGACATAATAGACGATTAGATATTTTAATTTCTACACTTCTGACAATTGAGAAAGATAAATATTTAAATCATACCTATAAATTATACACTAATGTATCTCCCAGAAATTCCATTTCTTGTTTAAGTAGGCATCAGAGAGGACTAAAAATTAGGGACAGTGATGTAAATAAATGCTCTGATACTTCTTGGACTGTTTGTTCTCAGACAAAAAATAAAATATATACTGTGCAGCGTCTTTTTGAAATTTGTCCGTGTCAGGATTTTTGCTTTTATAGATGCCCTAAAGTATCATGTGTCTCATTGTGTAGTCACTTGTATCACTGCAATTGCTTAGATAAATTGCTGTGCAAACATATACATAAAGTGCATTCATTCCTTAATAGACAAAATGATTGTGTGTTTAATCCCTCGGGGATTAATCTTGAATCGAATCAGAAATGCAATGAAAGTATGAAATCAATAAATGTGTATTCTGTTAATCATTACAATCCACAAAGTATTGAACAGAGAGTAAATGCATGTGAAAAGCTTGTAGAAGAATTACTGCAATTAATAAGACAACCAAAAGTCCAAAATGTCATGTTAAAGTGTGTTCATACAACATTAAATTCATTAGTTTCAGAATGTAGAGGAATTTTAAACTCGAATGAAAATTCAAGAGCAGTTTCAAGTGCATCATGTCCAGTTGCACCAAATCAAAAACTTAACCCACAATTGTTTAAAACTTCTAAAAAGAGAAAATTACAGAAATGTCAGCAGAATAAGAATCAAGATTTTAATGATAATGTAGATGACCCAGAAATAAATGAATGTGTGGAAAAGAAAATTAAATTTAAAGCCGTAGCATTTGATTTAAATGACAGTGATAAATATCTATGTGATTTAACCAGTGTTGATCAAAATAAATCATTTTCCCTTCCATTAAAGTCTAGCGAAGATATTTCTGAAAGAATTTTACAAATTGGCTGCTATAGTATATCAATCGTATTGCTTTAAAGTCTTTAGATTCTTATATCAGTAAAAGTGAAGAATTTTTTATAAAATCGGTTTGTACAGATTTTGTTAGGGGGTGGTTATTTGATGTAATCATAAATGCATTTTTATACAAAATTTTAGAAAGTGATGATCAATATACTTTTGCTGATTCCTCGATTACCCAGCTTATCTTATCTGATGCATTATCACTTGGAAATGTTTTTCCTGTTTCTTTGAAATCTTTCAAATATTTATTGATTCCTGCTTGCATTGATTCTCATTGGGTTCTGATCATAGCAGATTTAAAGAAAAATACCTTTTATTTATATGACTCGTTAATAAATTCATGCAATCCAAAATACATAAACTTAACTAAAAATGGTCTAATGTAATTAACAGTGAGTTACAAATTAACGGTTCATGGGATATTCAGTGTCCACCGCATGCTTTACAAAATGATGAAAGCAGTTGTGGGGTCTTCATCTGTTATTATGCATTTCAACATGTAAATAAATTAGCCTTAAATCTTCCTTTAGATACCCTTCAATTTAGAAAATTTATTTATAATATTTTAACTGAGAATGTTCCACCTTGTACACAGGAAAAGATAAATTTATCATCAGCAGAGCAAAACTTTTCAGTAAATGTTAGAATGAATAAAGATTTGACCAAATCATGTTTAAAAATACATGATATTGAAATTACACCATATATGTTAAAATCTATAGATCCTTTTATAAGTAATGAAGAAGAACACTTGTTTAAATCTGTATCTTCATGTTTTCGAAAAGGATGGCTCTATAATACTATAATTGATGCTTTTTTTATTTAAAATATTAAACAGTTATGAAGATTTTGCCTTTGTTAAGTCTAATTTACAAATTCCTAAACCAAATTTTTGTATTAAAGATCCATTACTAACAAGATTGAAATCAGCGAAATTATTTTTTATCCCTGCAAATTTAAATTGTCATTGGATATTAATAATAGTAAATATTCCAGATATGGTTTTTGAATTTTATGATCCACAAAATAAATCATGTGGGCAAGAGTATCAAATTTTAATTCATACATGGTGTGAGGTTTTAGCTAAAATATTTGCTACTAGCACTAAATGGAAAATAATTTTCCTTGCAAACTGATAATATGAGCTGTGGTGTTTTAGTATGCTACTATGCTTATCAGAGGATTAAAAATCAAAGTTTAAATACGCCAGTTAATATAACTGAATTCCGGAAATTGATATACAAGCATATAATTTTAAGTGATTGATATATTTAAAGAAATTTAAATTAAGAAATGTTTTTCAGGACAGCATTCCATTCCTTTGGTGATGCTTGAAAAATATAAAGTATAATGGACAAATATTTTGCAATTCATCTGTTGCCATACAGTTTCTATAAAAACACTTTTTTTTTTTTTTTTAGTTTGCTTTATTTTGTAATGATGTTATATGGCCAATAAACAAATAAAAATGCTTATGTTTGTATGTAACTTGGTAGTATAAGAGAAAATTGTTAAAGTAGGCAACAATGAACCCTTTTGGCCAGGGTGATACCCCCAATTGTGGATAATAGAGAATAGTTCATTTTATGTTAACAATGCATTCTCGGGGACCTACATGCCAAAATTTTCTCTTATTTTTAAAGAGGAATCAGAGAATTTGTACTTAACACTTCATCCCGTTGACTCTGAAGGATTTCCTCAGGAATGATTAGTGGTTCTGCACCAATTTTCATGGCCAATGGGATAGTATGCAAGTACTGCAAATTTTTCTGTTCATAAATAATCTCATATCTGATCTCAATCTGATCATTTTTAATATTTCAGGCTTATGTTTTCAGTGATCTTGGCTGTTTCACAATTGAATTTAGTCTTCTTTATTTTTCAGTAAACGATTGGCAGGAATCTGGTATGTATTTAAAAGTCAAGAGCAAGCTCTGCCAGGAGAATTTTCTGAAACTGAAACTCATAAATTTTTGAGTAATATGGTTGAATAATAATATTTATACTCTATTCAAGGAATTTTATCTGATATGTCTTTATTTTCAGAAATAAAAGATGAATAAAAACTTTGTAAAATAATTATTATGTATTCTGAATAAAGTCTGGGAAAAAAATTATCCATTGTTGAATTATTTTTTACTGAAAATTACTCCACATATTAGGAATTAGTCATATCTATGAAGCATAATATAAGTAGTGTTTCTTACAAGACATTGACTAATACATTATCCCAATTTCTTCTTAAATAAAATATATTTTCATTCTTTATTTCATCATCCATGATATCAATTGATTTTCATTGATTAAGATTAAAAAACACTATAGTCACTTAAAAATGTGGACACTTTTTTTTTTTTTTTTCCCTTGGTTAATAAGAGTACTTGCATATTTGTTAAGTTTCAGTATGTAAAGCTGTATACAAATTAAACTTTCACACATTCCAATATCAAAAGAGCTACCAATAATTAGATATTTTAATTTTTCAACATTCAAAAACAAAGAAATAGGAGTGAACTTGCTGCTAATCAAAAAGATGAATATACTGGTCTTATAATAATTATGAAAAATGAGTGCTAAAGTTACAGCCCATTTTTTAATTTTTAACTATTTATTGCAAAATAAGGAGGCTTAAAAGTTTGTGTGTCAGGCAAAGGGCTTGTGGTCTTTCACACAGAAGAGTGTAGCCAGACTTATATTAAAGCATTCAGGAAATTAAATAATTTTAATTCTAGAATAAGTCTTATCGTTACTTAATAGTTAGATAATGCCTATTATTATTTCCTGTCATTACAGAAGTACTTGCTGAAATTTCTTTGTTTCCCATTTGCATGGATGGTTTCAAAGAGTTGAATTTTCTGCAGAACTCTTAATATCCATAAATTGTTTGACACATTAAAAATAAGTGAATATTTGCTCTAAGCATATACATGTATTTCATTTAAATTTAATAATAGCATATACATAAAATCCAGATTTGATTTAAACATTCATAACTAAAGAACAAACACTGCTTTTACAAAGACCATGTTTTCTCCCATTTTGCATCAGTTACAGTTATTTTCATGCACATGAGTATATTTTGAAGTGTTAAATTAATTATCATTTCTATTCTTGGATGCTCTATGACTGAGAAAATAAAACTTAATGCTAATCTGATATCTAATTATTAATCTACTAAACCAAAATAATGAGGTTCTATAGTGCATGAATTGGGCAAAAGTGTGCAGTTAAATTCAAACTTGTAATATTCTGTAGCAACCATTTGAAGTCACATTTCCTAATGTTTTCATTAAACGGAAAACTTTACAATTCTAACACATTCATAAATCTCTTAAATTTGTATCATAATATAGTAGGAATGGTTCTTGGAATTAAGTGTTAATTATTTCATCAATGTTGAACTGTGCTGTTTTTCTCTCACAGCATGAATAAATGTGACTGATTATAACAGCAACTAATATTGTGATATGCAGAATAGGGGTGTAAAAAGCCTACAACAAGCAATTTTAAATATTGGGTCTAGTTGAGCACTATTACAGATTGAAAACGTCAAAAGTATATGGAATAAAACCTGCATTTTTAGAAAATGAGAGGTTTCATAAATGAATACTGTAATGATATACGTAAGGAACCAAAAAATATTTTTTAGATACGAGATACTGTTCTGTATTGGTGTGTATGATTTATACTGAGAAACATGACACAAAAATTTAGATCATTTCAGATAGGATTTCACCAGAATATTTTGTGTTATGGTATATCATTTGTGTATGTGGAAGTGATCTGTTCAAGATATAACTGTATTTTCATGCCAAAGATTACACCTGCAAAACATGAAACATATCCTATGAACTTTGCAAGGTATGAGCGAAACAAAAAATAAGAATTGGTTTTGTTGGTGCAAATTAAATGCATTATACAGTATCAAGTATATACCAAACATTTTCCAGATTTTCTAAACTGGTAAGTAAAGACAAGAATACGTCCAAGTACAGTTTTAAAATACTACTACATATAAATAAAATTGTTGTGAACTGTTGAAAAAACTACAAAAAAAATTTAGATTTTACTATGTTAAACCACGTTGTTGTGTTTATGGAGTATAAAAATTAACCGTGGCTTCATCACAAACTTAATATATCTATAAAAAAGATTTTGTACTTTTTAAAAACGTTACCATAGGTTCAATGCCATATAAGGTATTTAAAGTAGTGTTGTATTATACATAACAGCCAAACAGATGTGATTAGGGAACCTAGAAACATTTGTATAGATATAATTATTATATTCTTGTCTGTATTCATAAAAATGCTACAGTTAAGAACATGACTGTTATCTTTAATAAAATTCTGAAATAATTTAAAAGTTTCATATGTGCAGAGGGATATTTCTAGATCCTCTATTCAGGCATAATAATAGTTGTGTTACCTTTTGGACGTGAGATCCGAAGGCAGGAGTGCAGAATGGATGCATTTTGTACCAAGAATGGTAGTTACTAAGCACTGGACGATCAGATTTCTAAAAAATTTTGAAATCAAAGAGAACTTTTTGTACCTTAGGTGCAGTGACTGCTAGAAGCAAACCACGTAGTCTGTGAATAGATGTTCCAAATCTTCAGTTAATGTGAGGCTGTTTCCATGAGAAAGGTAGCCCCTACATAATTTATAACATTCGATCCAAAAAAAGTTAAAGCTTGGTTGTCACTTGTTAACAAACAGATTCACTAGTACAGAGTAGTGCACTAAATTTAAATAGCATTTTTAATTAAAATTATATTGAAGAACATGGATGCCTGCCAATGTTGTTCATCGCCAGAGACCTATAAGTTAAAGATCCCTGATATATGATATTGCAGTAAATTTAGATACTTTTTAAAATTAAATCCAAGAATACTTGTACCCATGAAGATCACTACTGGCCTATGAATTGGCAGCCAGTGGAGATGAACGCCTACCTAGTTTACCGGTGTAAGACAGTGAAAAAAGGACTGAACAGATTTTAAAACTAAACTAAAGAACAGCAGTGCCCATTAAAAATATTGATGGTTATTGGCAGTCAGCCAAAAGGTTTCAGATACTGCAGATAATTTAATAACCAAGTAACATAACACTCCAAAAATTTTGGAAAGAGTTAATGACTTAAAACAACAAAGTACCAGTTTTTATGAGAAACAACCAGTTCTTCGAGAAATTTTTGTTTAAAAATTGGAAGGTCTCTGCAAACAACAATGAAGAGATTTTAGAGAACTCTAATTCATACACTTTTTTCTTTGTCACAAAAATATTGACATCAAGTGATTCCTCTTAAAAAAAGCAGAAAATATAGCTCTGAACAGAAGTACATTTTCAGTATTGATCTCCTTTTCTAGAAAACCATTGTGATTAGGAAAGGTATTATCATTTTCTTCTAAATAATGATCAAGGCTGCAGTATGCCATCCTCCCCCAGAAGTTTGCGTAGGTGATTCGTTAGTGCAAAATTCTGGCGATTTCGTTCGTTTTGTTTGATTGCAGCTAAACATTCAAGGGCTATCTGACTAAAGGGAGGGATGCCTTCTTGGAGGACTCTTTAAAGGAAACTGCCACGTATATACGTTACACATGGGGAAAATCAAGAAAACACCCATGCAGCCAGCCCATTCTCCGAGATTCGAACCACGGGCCGAACTATCAGTGTTCAGTGATTTTACCGCTCGGCTGCTGATGGGCAAATATAGTAAAAAGCATTTTTTAATATATAACGGAACATTATTGAAATTCTGACTTTTCCAAGTTTTGTTTTTTGGATTTCTCAATGCCAAACATTAAATGCCCTGCTACAAAATAGAAAAAGATCAAAAAAAATAAAATCATTTCCCTTTAGATGTTTGTCAGACTAAGTTCCATGTTTTTTATTCAAAATTCAGAAAGAAAATATTTGTGTGGTTTGCATATATGTGATTCATGCTATTAAGATTCTAATAAAACTTAAGAAAAGCCTCCATTAAGAATAATAATGATGAACTTTATCTCTTACAAGAATCTCAAAGATAAATTTTACTATTTTATTACAAAAGTGTTACTTTATAACAGCTGCACATTTAAATAACCCCTATGTTCTCAACAATTTTAGTACAGAAATTATCTTTAAAGTAAGAACCCCGAAATTAATCTCTAAGAATTGGTAATTCAATCCAGGTTAGACTATTGGCGCACAATTTGTCTTCATAATTTTTCCTATGTGCACAGTGAATATGAATGTTACATAATCTTTCACGAAGGAAAGATTCCTCTTAAGCAGATAGCCTTCGTGCGCTTTGCCATAAATTGACTAACAAATACAGCTTCATAAAATAAGTAATTAGGGAAATATGAATAAAATAGCCATCAGTAAATTTTTTAATGAAGTTTTTCTTAAAAAATAATTATATTTTCAATTTTAGGACAAGTACATTTCTGAAAATATTGAATGAACTGAAATATTGTAATGAAGGTTCATTGTGTTCTCGATGAAATTAAATAATGCAGAATTTTTAATGTAATACTACTATATTGAATGCTTTAAACTCTTTAATTAAGTTAGCATAAAAATATTCAAATTAATTGCATTTTTATTTGAAATTCCAACAAGCAAACTTAAAACTGTAGTTACTTAAACTGTTTTTAAGTATTTTAAAAATTTAAATGCATTTATTTGCAACAAATATTTTAATTGTAGTAATTAGCTTTATAAAATTGAATTTTGATTCTTGTTTTTAATGGAAAATCAAAATCCTTAAATAAGTATAGAAACAGACAGCTATGTATAAATATTTACAGCACTAGAGAAAAGTACTCAAAGAAACTCTGTTTCACATTAAATTTACTGGGAGTTAATAAACAATAACTAAACTTTGACAAAACAAATAAATTTCCATTAATTGATGTAATAAATAAACAGAATATCAGAATGAAATGAGTAACAATGCAAAATTTACGAAAATATGCATATCAATACATGCAAATTATAAAAATAATGGGTAAAAGTTTACAATTGGGTGCCCTTTGTTTTTTGGGGATTCTTTTTTGACGCCAAGATCGGTGCCAGGAAGGCACAATTTCAAGATGGCCGCTACACAAAACCAAAATAAGAAGTCAAAATATTGCACAAACTCTGTGTCCATGTACACATCAATCTGTTTTCACTTAAAAAAAACATCTTAGAATTGCACAAACTAGGCATTGCACACTGCCTTAAATTTGTCCATGTACACATCAATCTATTTTCATTTAAATAAATTCTGGAAGCTAAAACACAGTTAAAACTATCATGGTAACCAGAAGTGAGGTTTCATCGGCAAAATTTTTTAAAAAATTGTCGCTAATCCATAGCTAGGGTTTTCAGCGCCCAGGGACAACTGAAGATTTCGCGCCCCCTACTGCTTGCCAAGGATGGAAAACATTTAATTCTAACATGTCGCAACATCAGTTTGGAGCCCCTTGGATTCTGCGCCCAGGGATAGATGCCCCCTCTAGCTACGCACCTGCGCTAATCGAAGGGGCACCCAATTCTACACTAGAGCCAAATAATGAACAGTCAACGAGAAATATATACACTGCATGAATTAAAAAAGAGGGACAAGAAGAAGATGCATGAAATATGTTTATGATACCTTAGTTTCTTCCTTTATTTACCTTTAGTATTACAGCTTTTCAGTTATACAATGAATATTTAAACAATGTCTGGAAAGAATTAAAAAAGTCTAATTATCTGAGCCAAAACTGTTAGTATTGTGACAAGTAATATAAAATTATATAATCAAATTAATAAATCTGAATCAAGATAAGACAAATTATAATAAAAGAATATATAGAATTACAGGAAAATTAGTTTATTTGAAATATGAAAACAGCCTACAGTATAGCATCTGATTAAAACATTAGAAGGGTACCTTGGATTGTAAGAAGTTATTAATATAAATTAGAATATAGAGGAAAGGATGAAATGACAAGACTGGAATTTTAGAAAATTTGTTATTCAGTGACAGATTACATTCTTTTGATAAGATGGACAGAAAGCTATTTTGAAGTAAGATCTTATTTGTTCAAAATGTTTTCTAAATCTGGAACACTGCACCACTAGGTAAGGTTTGAGACTGTATATCCCAGAATGAAAATATTAATTAAAATGTAACTGAAATAATAATACAGTAATTTTATTATAATTCAATAAATGCACAAAATTGTGAGATAATTACTTCAAAGTACATCAAATTTAGAATTACAGTATACAAAAGTTTGGAATACAAAAGATCCCAAATGAAAAAAGTGTGAATGAAAAGAGTACCAGCTACACAAAATTCTTTGCTGAACCTAGAGGTATACAGACATTTTATGAATGAAAAAATGATTTTTAAAACATTCTGATAGAAAAATATGAAACTCTTTGATGAGATCTAATGAAAATATCAACAGAATCAACTTGAAGATGTTTATAAGTTTTTGCAAAACAGTACGTTTTCTATGAAAAAAAATAATATTTCTTAATTTCTTGTAGAGTTTTAATCCATAAAAATAAAAGTCAAATATTATTGTCCCAGCAGTTCGTACATGTGGTATATAAATATTGTTAAGAATTAGTTCGATTTTCTATTCCTTTTCATTCATTACAAATAAACTGTTTTGCTAATAACCGAAATATGAAATATACTGTGACCCAAAATGTTGTTTCTATGCCGTTTAATTACTTTTTCTTACTGTTATTTATTTCACTTAGAGTGCAAGTAGATGCGTAGCAATACAATAACAACAGTATTCAAATTATAATAATTTAATTCAATATAAGACACAGAGTAATATCATATGTAAATTTTCTGTCAAACATTGTGAATTATATGTAATAGGGAATGTTTACAAACTAAGAACAATATCTGTGAATTTAAAAATGTTCTGCCTAAAAAACACTCAAGAGTTTAATAGCTTTCCTTTATCGTTAAAGTTCAATATAACAGCGATAGCAAATTGTTACCGATAACTGCTGTGCTTGTTTACGATATTATTTACCTATTCTAATTGCCAAGCAGTGATAAATCAAAGAGTAGGGCAACCACCGTTAGAACTATATTAACCCTGCTCGTATGCCATTGGTCAGCAAAGATAATGTAACGATGACGTAGATACACTTCCGGTGATGACGTACAACACACTTCCGGGTTCCGATTTGCGGAATTGTAGCTCGTTCAAACCTCCTTGCTTGCAACAGTCAGATAAATCACCTCAACTCCACTTTGAGCAAAACCGAATCAAAAAGTTCAAGAGCTTGTGTGGAAAGATATGCGGAAGAGCAATTTTCAATCTTTCTGCTTCTGGGAACAGCTGTGTGTGGTTGGTACTGTCAGCGTGTGCATCGCAGTCTAAGGAAATGTTGACATGACAGTAATCATACTCTCACTGCGGCCTACATTATCCTGTAATTCATCATGAGCATATTTTATCGTAGCAGCTCGTGGAGGAAGATGTTTTTTTCTATTGTTCTTCTTCTGTTATGCTTCTTGCAAAGTGGAAATTGTTGGACCACAGAAGATCTTGAACTTTTTGATCTAGTTGAGAGTACACCACAGAATTTTTATGATGTTCTAGGAGTGGATCCAGTAAGTTAATTTTTGCACAAAACGAATAGTAGGATTCCATTCTAGATGTAATATAATTTTATTATAATTTCCTTATTGACCATCTTAAAAAATAAAATATGTTCATAGTTCATATTTTCCCATATGGATCAGCAGGCTGCTTATATAGATGCTTCCTCGATATGTAATAGGAAGCAATAGATGTGTGTTTATAAACTGATATATGCACTAGAAACAGGAAATTTTTTTTTTTTTTTTTTTATTTCGTACTCCTTATTTATGTGAGATTGCGCAAATTCTTGTATGCCATTCATCATATATGAACATTTTTTGAAAAATCATGCATTTTTAGTAGGTTACATATTTTAACACTTCTTCCATTCTTTTAAACAAGAAAATATACACTTAGGCGGCATTTCTTTTGATAAATGCGTCAATTTTCTTGTAAAGATGTTAGTTATTACACATTCTTTGCATAAAATCTTGTGATGTGAAATTTAATGCAGCATTTATAATCAATATGAGATATTATTGAACCAGGATATAAAATTTACATATAATTTATCCAAATGTTTTCATGGTAACATGACTCTAATCTCAAAAAGTATTCTGCAAAATATTAACATTTGATTGCAGCTGAAATTGAGATCAGAATAATGATTAAGACAGAGATCCTGGGTAACATAATTAAGAAAATGATCTATACTGCTATATTTATGTATGTATGCAAGGTTCAAATTTTTTGTAATGTGCTAAAAGTATTTGGTACTCTTCTGTTATTGGGGACTGGATTTAGAAATGTATGTATGTATGGAATGAATGTGTTCATGTACATATACAGGTACTTATGTATGTGCACGGACACACACATATACAGTGCTTATATACATATATTTCCGAATCTGGCTCCAATAATAGAAGAGTATTGAACATACTTAAATTTAATTCTTTTACAAAATGTGAGATCAATATACAGCTTTATTACTTCCAGAGTGCCTAAAATAATGTTTCGATTTTTTATGCGAATACTGTACATAAGTATGTATTTTTTAATACACAATCATCAAATGCTAAATTTATATTTAAAAATAGTAAATAAATAAAAATAAAAAAACAGGTTAAAAACATTTAACATCATAAAGGCCATATTTTGAAAGAAGCATCTTAGATTATAAAAGCATTTTCTACTAGAACAGAAAGAAAATACAAAAGCTAAAAAGAAAGGAAGAAAAAGCGTGAAAAGGAAGTATACAGAGCTTATACTGGCTTTTAATAATAACCATCTTTAATTTACTTTAAATTTCAAAATGATTACTGATTATGTTTCAACAACTAAATTGCTTAATTTAAAGACCAGATTATGAAAGTAATGCACCATCAATTTACTTTACTTAATGCATATGATTAATTTATGCCTCTTTCACACTATCTATCTATATGACATGAGAATAGATACACAACATATACACATTTCTGATATCAACACATATACTTTTCAGATATCAGAACAGAAATACAGTATAATTTACTCTAGTGCTTTGATATCAGAGAGCTATCAAAAAGCATTACACCATTGATGGCTGAACAGCTGAACAAAGAAGTAATTTCATGATTTGTTGATTGTAGACAGTAAAATCGAAGATAACAAGACTGTTTTCCAATTTTGCATGAAGTATCTTTCTCACTATACTAAATAAACTCATTAAAATGAAATACGAATATAATTTCAATTTTTTATCAGATCTTTGGCTTGCTGCATCATAAAAATATTGCAAGAATATTCAAAACTAATGAAAATATATTTAACCATACTGTTCATCTTCAGGCAATAAAACTTTTACTCTTTCAACAATTTATACACAACTTATGCTTCTGAACACCCAGGACTAAAATTATATGCCTATGATAAATTTATGTTATTATAAAATCTTTGCATCTTATTACTTTTTGTTTATAGAAGACACATTGTGAAAAATGTTTAAAGATTTTACCTTACTTTAATATCATGTGCACATATTCAACACATTGAATTAATTTTAAAAATGTAATTGTATTTACAAAAAAGATAGCCAATTTATATCAAAGAGATTACATTTAAATATAAACAGCTGAATTTAGAATTTTTTTCAAAAGAAATCTACAATAGTAAATACTCATACACATAAATTATAGCTATGGTAATTTTTTTGTTAATCTAAGACTTTTTTTAACACAAATGCTTCAGCAGACTTTTTTTAACACAAATGCTTCAGCAGAATTTTTCTAATGGAAGCAGATTATTATTATTTTTAATTTTCTTAGCATATATAAAATATCTGGCACTCTTCTGTTATCAGAGCCAAATTCAGAAATGTATGTGTGTAAGTATGGATGGATGTTTTCATTTTATGCATGTGTATATGTACATATATATGTATGTGTGTTTATGTGCACATATACGTGCATACATACACACCTGATTCTGGTAACAGAAGTGCACCAATAATTTTATTGTCTTTAAAAAGCTGTCATTTAAATTAAAATTATATTTTACATGAATATACTAAACGACTTTTCTGTAAAAGTAATAATGTTCAAGAGAAGTCCGTGTAACTCTATAAAAATAATAACGTTCAAGATAAGTTTCAATGTAACTCTATAAAAATCATGTATTTTTATTCAACTGTAATTATATCCAAAACAAAGTCAATTCTTTATAAATTTCAACCAAAATAATAGCTAGGTCAAATTTATAATATATAGGTTTGTAGATAGATTTTAAATTAACATTAGCTGCATGTAATTTATAAAATTGTGAGAAAGTTTAATTTATTCATCCTTTTTTAAAAGTATTTTAATTATTATACTGTTTCTAATCATTACTGATCTTGCTAATCAATACTCTTCTATTTTAATTTTTCGATTACTAAAACTGTTACTTCAGGATGTCCATTTTAATTAAAATTTATTAGCTTTAGTGAAGTATAATTCTAATCCCTACTTTATTCAACTGTTTTTCTCATCTCTGTTTAATTAATGCCGTTAAGTTTCTCTGTATCATTTATGTTATTTGAATGCATGTACATGCACAAGCCTTTTTGCTCCTGATAAGTAAAAGATTAATTCATTTAATTTTTTTGGAGGGGGGAGGGTCAAATACAGTTAAAATTTTGTCATTCAAGTAAGTTACTGTATTCTTTCATATCACAGTGAGTTATAATAACAAAAATTCAAAATACATTTAATGATAACAGTGTTATAAGAATACTAATAGCGGAATATTAAATAACAAATTGATTCAAGCTAAAATATGAACCTGTAACATCTTAAAATAAATTTTTGTGTATAAGTAACTTTGAGGAATATCTGCTTCCCATGGTATTTTCTGGACTTGTTTTATGATGTAAAATAATTTGTATTTTAGCTGAGTTCTTTATTTCTTCTTTTTTTAAAAATTGTTTTATCTTTTCAGCATATTTTCAGCAGAGATTTTAAATTTAGGAAAACTGTATTTTCCTTTTATTGGCTATCATTGCATTTTTGTATGAATATTTTTAATTTAATGATGTCTTTCAGTTTTGAAAAGAATTGTATATTTTGCCACCTGTTCAGATATCGTGAAATAGTTTGCCAAAGGACTTATTACAGAACTTATTTCTAATTGCTTTGCACAGCATGTCTGTGCAAACAAATATTACGTAGGGAAAGGATAGATAACATGATATTTATCCACTTGTCCCTTTTTAACCCATATTATTTTGAATAAAAAATGCATTAATATAAAGGAAATTCACAGTTGGTCCAATTTATAAAATAATAGATTTTTTTAACTGTACTTGTTATAAGTTATTCTGCTGTGAATATCAGTTGTAAATATGAACTGAAATTGCATTCCTATTAATTTGTAAAATATATGCTACTGATCACCATTAGTTATAACTGTTTGATATTGAAATAAAACAAATATACATTTATAAAGCCCTATAGTTTGATATTTTGGTTAAGCTTTGGATTATTGTAACTTGGCGATATTTTGGCGAAAATTTGGCGACCAACCCTGCTACAGCAACCTGCTAGTTTTTTTTTGGACGCCATTTTGTTTTCACGAAGTAAAGGCATGTTTTTTTTTTTTCAACTCAACATTTTTCCCCCAACAATCTGCTAGGCGAATTACGCTTATGCTAGAACTTTTATGGAACAAAAGTGCTTAATCATGACGAAGATTAGCTGCAAAATTGGGAGAAAGTGCATAATCACCCACTGCTTGCACATTTTAAGAACTGTACATACACAGTATCATCCATGTACACGTCGACCTATTTTCACTTAAAAATACATCTCAGAATTGCACAAAAATGGCACTGCGCATACTCTTGACTTTATCCATGTACACTGCCAAAGTCCTAGCTAGTAACCTTTATCGCCTTGCCAAAATGTCGCCAAACTACCTGTTACCATATTCCAAAGATTAGCCGATATTTTTTTTTTAACTTGCAATTAATTTTTTTAATGAACTGATAAATGCATCTCTATGTGCTTTAATTGTATTAATTGAAATGACTTGAATTACTGAATTGAATCACTGCTCTTTATATTAAGGAATGTGTAAAACTGTTTTTATGAAATGAGATGTTCTAATTTTTGACAACACTTTATAGAAGTTTTCCATGTTATAAAACATGGAAAAATCTTACAAAAGTGTTGTGATATTTCTTTTCCTCCCCACTTTTTCTGTTTTCAAAAGTAAGCTTTTACAACAAGGAGAGAGTAAAATCTCACTGAAATTTAAAAGGGGTGTAATTCTACAATTGTATGAATTTCCCACCTCCCCCTTCATTTTTAACTTTAAAATTTGTTAAAAACATAAAAATTTAGTGATTTATACTTGAAAGTGAGAAAAATTCTGTAGTGAATATACATTATCTGACCAAAAGTATCCGGACAGCCAGTGGCATGGATTTGAAGAGTTCTGAGGCATATATTAATATGGTATTGGTCCTTTTTTGCATCAATGACAGTTTGCACATGTCTGGACAGACTTTCCACCAGTTTCTGGTAGGTGGCCATAGGAACTGATATCCATGCATCCATCATAGCTGAAGTGAGTGAGGATGGTCCATTTGGCTGGCTATGTAATCTGCCTTCTAAATTGTGTCAAAGGTGTTCTGTGGGAATTAGATCAAGGCTCTTGAGAAGGGCAGTCCAGCTTTTGACTACCCATTTCTTCCAAACATGGCTGAATAAGTCTTGATGTGTGAATGGAGCAGTTATACTGCTGGAAGACAAATGGGTCTTCCCCGAAATATTGCCATAGATTAGGGAGAGCAACATTGTCCAAAATGTGCACATACATTTCAGAGTTTATGTTTCCAACCACAGGAACAAAGGAACCCCAGTCAAACCATGAAAAACACCCCCCCACACCATGATGTTGAAAACATCACCAAACTAACTTAAGAAGCTCTTGTCAGGTATCCTGCAAACCCAGACACATCCATTGGACTGCCAGGTTGTAAAGCGAGATTCATTACTCCAAAGAACATTTTTCCACATGTCTGTAGTCCAATAGTGGTGAGCTTTGCACCATTACAATTAACGCTTCGCATTCTGGGGAGTGACGTTTGGCTTGTAAGCGCCTGCATTACAATGGAATCCCAGGTTTTCAAATCTTGACAAACAATCATGCTGTTAGCATCAGTGCCTGATAAACTTTAGAACTCCTGAATGATTGCAATCAAGAAGGACTTGTGATTTTCTTTCGCTATTCCTTTTAAAGTTCTACGGCTGCGTTCACTAATTTTTTTTGACCTGCCACTTTATTTTTCTACACTTTCCCTGCCTCGACATTTCTACTTCACAATTATGTCACTCATAGTGAATTTTGGCTTCTGCAGAATGTCCGAAATTTCACAAACTGATTTTCCTTAAAGGTTGCATCTCGCAGTACTTCCTTGATCAAAGTCCCTAAACTCCTTTGACTACTACATTGTCTTACAAACACATAACAATGACCTGACAAACCATTACCAACACTTTTATAACTTTTGGTTAAGCATTAAATTATGCCACCTGCCAGATCCACTTCTTTGGAGGGGAGGGTACTTTTGGCTAGATAGTGTATCAGAAAAATTTTCAAACTTCTTATTTTATGTAAAATTCCTTTTTTTAAATTCTGAGTTTGTTATTGTAGTGTTCCCTAGTATAGTATAGTTACCTAGTTATAGTTATATTTAGTGTAGTTTGCTATTGACGATGTTGCCTAGTATATACATGCCCAGTAATGTGTAAATTTAATATTGTTGAACAAGGTTCTACAATTTTGAATGAAAATTGTAAAGCTTTATATTTTAGCAGTTAAGAAAGAACCTATATTGGTTCATCTACATTTCTTTAATGATTTGTTAATCATAAGTGTAATTAATTTATTAAAATTAGTATATGTTTATAAAACATATTAAAATTAGATAAATTTCAGCTTTAGATTCATGGTTATTTTAGGCAAAGAGTGCATTTTAAGAGAAGCTGAAATTAGATTTCATCCAAGGAGAGGAAAAATAATATACTAATAGAATTTTTCTGCATTTTAAAGTTGATGTTTATATTTCCTTCATTTATCATATATTTATTAACGATATTGCATTATTTTACTGCTGGTATGATTAGTTGGTATTTAGGAAGTGTACTCGAAGAACTCTCTTCAGTAATGAATATTTTAACCCATTTACAATTATTAATCCGAAAGTCTGATTTGCTCTAAATTTTATTTTGATTTATTAGCACAAGATCAAACTTACAGCCGAAAAACATCTCTATCAAAGCATATAACAAGACAGTAAGCCTTCTCGTACAAAAATATTACCATACCTTTATGCTGATCAACATTGTGAATATCATCTTTATTTTCATGAATGTATGCACCATATAATTATACAATTTATTTATCATTGAATAAAAATGCTTATAGTTTCTTAAACAAAATTGAAGTATATATCAAAACTTCTGAAGGACAGCTGAGTGAACTTGTAAATGAATGTACTGCAGTCTGCACAATAAACAATAAAGTTAGTCATATTTTTTACAATTCAAAAGTGCCGTAATGGGGAGGGGGAAAGAAAAACAAAACTGAAAGGTTTCAGATTTTAAATTATGTTCAAAGGGTCGTTTTTTAAAACTTTTTGTGTGTTACCTTTATTTATTAAATATCATGTTCTTTGCTCCTAAACCATAAAATTCAGTTCAACAGCAGTGTCCCAAAATAATTTTAAAAGGAGCATATATTTAAAATTTCTGATACACAGTTCTGCGCGCTGGAGATAAAAATGATCCCCCCCTCGGTAGAGTGTTGCCATTGCTCACTTTTAAATTGTTGAGTTTGTTAATCAAAAATTCATTTAAAGTTTTACAAAATATGAAATAGATAATAAACCAAATTCCACATTTCAAATTTGGGTTTTCAGATGTCCATATTTGCAGTAGGATTATGCCATTCAAAATTGGATGGCTCTAGGTACCATTGTTTTATCACAATGCGAGAAACATACATACATTTATGCAGATTCTTCATTATTTAATTTCTTCAAATATAATACAGGGTGATAGTATTTAGTGGCAATGATTTGAAAAGTGATACAGCCTTTTAAAGTTTTCAACGCAAAATCACAAAACAAAAACAGCAGACCTTCAGGGACAAAGCCCCTTTGGACCAATAAATTATTCAATTAAAAGTTTTAAATTAGATAATTACCTCTTAGCTGTATATGTTTCAGATTTACTTTTACTTTCTCTAAGCTGTTTACAGTTTGACAATTTCTATAGGTGTATAAACTAGTTATTCAGCTGTCTTGATAGCAAATATTTTTGTTACCAAGACTTCTGAAAAATTGAAATGAAGAGCAGACAAAATAATTTTGATAATTTTGATCAAATAAAATAATTTTAATCCAGTAGATCAAATAATTTCGATCAAATAAATCAAATAATTTTATATATTATGTTTACTCAGTTTCTTATATTATTTATTTGCTATATCATTTATTCATGTAATTTTTCTCTTTAGAAAGCATCTGCAAGTGACATACGCAAAGCTTATAGAAAATTATCAACTTTATATCATCCTGATAAGAACAAAGAATCAGATGCTGAAGAAACTTTCAGAAGAGTAATATATTTATTTTTATTCTTTACACCAGGATTAATTAAACTTTTTAGGATAAGGACCCTGTAATATTTATGAAAATTTTGTGACCCCATAAGCATTATGCAAATCCGATGCACATGAATGAAACTTGTCAGTTTATTCATTTGTACTGTAATATACTATTGCAATTTTAGGTCATTAAAGTAAAATAAACGTTTCAGTTAATTCTTTATTAAAAAAAATGCTTCAAAATTATTAAAAAAAATGCTTCAAAACATTTTCGTTTTTTCTTTGTCTGTATTATCTTTTCTTTAGCTATTTTCAGATACATTATGTAAAAATATTTGGTAATTGTTAAAATTATTATAATAAGTTAAAGAAATATCAAAATTTCTAAAATGTTTGGCGCCCCCTACTGGGATTGCGACCCACAGTTTAAAAAACTCTGCTTTACATTGCTGACTGTCAGCCTATCCATGCAGTGTCAGTTACTTTGTTAGGAGTGAGCATATATTACAGGTGTTATAATGATTCAGTAGCCAGCAAGAATTGCTCCTGATTATTTTAAATTTTACACATGGATACAACTGCCACATATACTTGGTTGATGTTATCAGGGTTGTCATGCTACCTGGAAAATATGAAAAACTGGAAAAAGTCAAGGAATTAGAAAACTGACTAGAAAGGTCAGGGAAAAATCAGAGAATTTAACTATTTTAGTTAAAATCAGAAAAAGTCAGGAAATTTCATACGGCGATTCCCTAAAAAAGCGACTTTTATGCCAGTGTTGGAAGCAAGCACTTTCTTGCTGAATTATGTATCGCATTAGCGTCATTCGGGTAACTATCATAGAGCCAGTTTACGCAGCTCCAATCAGATTGTCTTTTAGAAAGGCAAACCAAGTCTCCAGCAACTTTGGTTTCCGATAACCTCGAGAATCAAGAGATATGCATGTACAGTGCACGTTGAACGAAAGAAAATCATATAAAACATTCTCGTATAAAACAAAATGAATTTAATCCTTGTATACAGTACACACAGGATTTGGCGATATTATGATGAGCAGTAAACTGGTCATTTGGGTGTTGACGACAGTTTTCAAATCGGGCCAAGGCTGTACCGTATACTAGGATTTTACCACAAAATCTTTTTAACCTTTTTTTCTTTTTAATGAATGCCTTGTTTGTCATTTTGCAGTAAAATAAAAAAACAGTAATTGGTCATCTAGGCTAATTATTTAATATAACTATATTTGGCAAAATATCGTTTATTCTTGTAACTCAATTTTTAAAACTGAATTTTAATGTTATTTGTATCATTTAATATGGCTGCTTCTTTCTAAATTTGTTTATTATTAGTTAATACATAATGCTTTCAAATTCCAGGCAATTTTCTCTGGCATACTCCTGAAACTAAGTCTAGCAGTATGATGACATACCATCATGAAATATAATGCACTTATTTTTTGCATGTGTGTGCTGCTAAATAAATATAAAATACCTAAATATATTTTAAAATATCATTAAATAGATTTCTTTCTTTCATTTAGTTGCAATAAAGGCATTTTTAAATCTAGATTGGGCAGATTCTAATCTCAATCTTCTGTGTAGAAAACAGCTCCTATTATAGTTATAATAGTAATGCTTTGCGGACAAGTCATATGTAATTGAAAATTTTTGTGTTTTCAAGTGGTACCATAATTAATTTACCTCTTGGCACGGCCAATGCGCACTACGTGGATACCCTGGAATTTTCTTAAAACACACCTGGAAAACCTGGAAAAGTCAGGGAATTTCATTCTCCTGTTTGAGTGGCAACCCTGTGTTATGTATGTTATGGAATTGTTTGTAAATATCATGAATAATGCATGTATTAGTTGGTTTTCTTTCCCCCTTTTTTTAAATGAAGAGGATATCAAAATCGTAAAAACAACCTTGTATTTAGCGTAAGTATAATGAAACACTCAATCGATTTCGAAGGCAGCTAAAGGTCCCTCCTCATCAGGAGAAAGAATTACCTAGAAAGAAGAAATTTTTTTTTTTTCTTTCTAGGTATTTCTTTCTCCTGATGAGGAGAGACCTTTAGCTGCCCTCGAAATCGATTGAGTGTTTCATTATACTTACGCTAAATACAAGGTTGTTTTTACGATTTTGATTGTCACATTAGCGTGTTTCTCTTCTAGTGAAGAGGATATATTTACAGTTTTTAAAATGGCAGCCAACCAAGACTCCCTAATGCTTAAAAATGTTTTTTGTTTGTGTAATAAGTAAAGCTAATAGGGTAAAAAATTGTCTGTGATGAATTTGAAGCTGAAGTGTAAAGAATAGGAGATGATCTTAGCAGTAGTGAAGAAGTAATCATCTTAGCAGTAATAAACAGAAGAAATGATCTAAACAGTAATGATGATTGCAACCTTGAAGATGTAGTTGATAATTCAGAAAATAAAGTGCTTGATGGTTCAGAAAATGAAGATGAGATAATTAGCTATGTAACTGCAATATAAGTGATGCAGGAACTTTAATAAAAATAACATTAACCAAGCAGTGGTCTGGCACTGGTTCCAGGGAATGGTAAAAGCAAGAGCTCATAATCAGCATCTCCTTTACAACTATAACATTCGCAGTCACCTTTTAACACAAGAAATCTGACTGCTGTCATTTTGACTGGTTTTCATTTGCATTTGCATGTCTTATCTGTATTTATGGGCTCAGACTACTGATGTTTTGTGAATTTTACTATGTAATATTGATGCACACCTTAACAAAACTGTATTCAGTTATGAAAGGGGAATGTGTTGTTCAGTCTAGAGCCATAATTTTGACAGTATTATGGAAAACAAGAAAAAATGTTAAAACAAGAAGTCCAATATTTTTGTAATTAAGTTTCAATTGCTCTTGATGTAATCTGAAAATATATGGTAATTGCTTTCCCATATTTGGGAAAGAAAGACATCATCATTCTTAAACTCTGCTATTCTATGTCTGGAAAATCTGCACTTGGGCAAAGAGAAGGATGCCACCACTGTAAATTTTCTGATGCTCTGAAATATTCCAATCAGCTGCTTTATTAAATTTCTGCTTTTAAACATAATGATTGTACTCTGTGTATCAGTGCTCAAAGGAAAAAAAAAAAAAATGAATAAGAGGTTAGTTTTGAGCGCTTGGGGTTATCAAACAGTTGACATTACAGATAATGCCAGGTTTTCAAAAATTTGACATTTTATAATTCTATAAATTTATGGTATTGATATTCTAAATCAAATGGCTAGGAATTGTTCAGTAAAATCAGTATATTGCAGGTGAAAAATGCATGTATTTATAATATTTTAGATTTGTTTGCTACTGTTTGGATTGTATATAAAAAAGATGTGGTAAGCATGATTTCTAGGTTAGATTGAGACTGGACTTCTCAAATTAGGGAGATCAACTGCAACATTCTGAAGAACTTCGACAGAAAAATTTGGCTACTATGTGCATTTTATGCTGTATGTCAAATGTGTTAGATCAGAAATTAATTAAATTTTCATATACATCGCCAAATTTGCGAATGGAATAAAGACAGAGCGACCCACAAATGCAAGACATCACTTTATGAAAAATGTGAAAAAAGCTGTAGAAATTTAATTTACATTAACTATAATACATAAAGGCAGAAATATCACATATTAGAACTTAATAAATGAAAAACAAAGTTTTCCGGTCAGTGAGAGCACAGTACAATTTGTATATATTTTGTTTCAAATTAATGTAAATTATAAATTTTATTTTATTTACATGCATAATTCCATGAATATGTTTCCTTGTTATAAGTAACAGTGCCAACATTGTTTTACTTTCATAAATTTTTTTTTTGATTCTCATAACATGCTTATAAAATATTACATCAAGATAATATTATGGTTTAATGTTTGCTTTAAAAAAAAAAAGAGATATCTTTCTGATATTGCATGCAGTTTGTGGTACATTATAAGAAAGAATAAGAAGCAATTATTTGTCTTAATTATGAAATATTTTTTAATAAATCAGAAAAATTATTTATCTGTGATTCAATCTTATTGCTAGTCAAACAGTTAAGATAAAAATTCAGAAGATTCTTTTATTAATCATAAATTAAAATGAAACAGAATGGAATGTAAAATTTAAAAAAATTAAAAAGTTCTTAATAACATAATAAAATATTAAATGTTAATTTCTGATTATTTGCATCTGCACTGATAAGTTGTGAGTTCGTTGCTGACTTTGGAGAGCATTCAAGAACTCGTTGACTAATTTTGTCCAAAGGTAAGCACTATTTTCAACTGATGGCATGCTAAGAGTTCGATAAAAGAGCAATCACTCAAAAGGAAAGAACATTTATAATAAATCATATACTCCTTCTGGAAAATGTGTAACTCTTTTATGCTGTTGTTATTTCCTTTGTCCACAGCAATTTGTTTTCACTTAAAACAAAACAAAACAAAAGAAACAAAATGCACAAACTTGATTTTGTATGATTTCTGCTTTGCGTTTGGTTAACACAGACATGTGTTTTTGCATACCTGGGTGACCATATAAATCCTTTTTTTTTGGTGATGTACTGCTTTTCTCATGAATATTATTTTCATGACTTTTTGGCAGGAATGGATAGTCAAAATGTATCCTTTATGAACTGTTTTTCATAGCCAAAGAAGCAGATAAACTTTTAATCTCTTGATTCCAATGTACTAGTCTCACTTCAGTTTTAGTGAACAATGGAGACTTCTTTTGGAATGATAATTGTTTTAGTATTATACTCATAAACTCAAATTTCATTATCAGTAATTACTGTAGAAAAGAACTGCGTCATTTTTGACCTGTTATAGATTTCTGTAGGTTATGTTTATAGTCATCATTTAGCTGTGATGACACAGATTTAACAAATGCATTTTTCATGTTGAATTTCAAGAAAAATTTGCTGACAGTCTAAGAAGCTCATATATTTTATGAATCACTGCAATGTAAACTGACAGTTTTATAACTTGAAGAAGAGAGACCTGAGTGAGATTGCTCTTGAAAATTACTGAAAATTTATATTAAGCTAAAGCTGTTATTTTACTTAGTTAAAGCTGTTATTTTACTTAGTTTTTACACTGATGTGTTTTCTTCTATTTTAACTTAATTTTATGCAAGTCTTTGACAACTCTGATAAAAACAGCTCCATGAAAATCATCATCATGTTATAGTTTGCTTTATTTAATGCTTGTTGAAACTTTTATAAGTTCCTACTTTTATTAATAAATGCATAAAAAGTTTAAGCCGCATTGACTGTCTGCTCTATCTATTTTCACAACAAATGTAATGCTAAAACTCCTTTACAGAAATAATCAAGCTAGCAAGGTACAACATGTATGCTTCAACTTTCTGCCTGAAAGTGAAAATTAAAAACTTGATATATTCTTTCTATTTCACAGACTTTCTGATAGCATTTATTCACAGATTTTTTTTAATGTATTATTTTACAGTTGCTTTGTTATATATAACTGTTAAATGCCCTAAAATGATACTTCATTGTTTACTCAAGAATTGATTTTTGATTTGCCATGTTAAGAACAAAGTTGGAAATAACAATTAGTATTGCCATTTTTGTTAAGCCCATAGCCATGATATATATTTTTATGTACATTCCAGTCTGTTATTAGTAATGTAAAAATTTATCTCAGTTTAGAATCTTCATGCTCTTCTTTTTTAATCTCCTTTTTAAAAATTAATAGAATGTTAGAATGAAACTGTATTCCCATGAAGTAATAGTAATAAATCTGTGCAGATTACTGTTTATAACATAGCATATGTGTTTTGTATTGGATTTTTGTTTTAGTTTTCAAAATTTTATCTCGCAGATTGCTGCAGTTGCTGATGTGTTACGAAACGAAGAAAGAAGGAAAACGTGAGTTTTTTCTTTTCTTAAAAATTCATAGCGAATCTTTTAGAGTTTTAAATTTATCATTTCTCTTTCATTTGTTAGAAATTATCTATATTAGGGAAGCTAAATGATGTGTCTATAAATCGATTAATGTGTTTGAAAATTTTCATAAATTGATTTAAAATTAAAAATGGATATTTCAGTTAAATGCTGATTATTTTATGAATGGCTTAAAGTGGTAATGCTGATATATTATGAAGAGCTAAATGTTTCCTATGCCATTTTCTGTATTTCTCATCTCCCAACAGACATTAGTATCCAGTAAATAAAGTATTAAACTTGATTGCAATATTATTTTTTTACTTACAAATGCTATCTTGATTTCTAGTTATGTTCAGGAAATTAGTAACTAAGTTTATAATATCATTCTTGATATGCAGGGTGTTTGAGAATTGAATGGTAGATTTTCATGAGGTGTTTGTGAAATACAATATGAAGAGCTTCAGTAACTGGAATGATCTATTATTTGTATTTTCCATACATGTTTTTAGATGCTTTCTTTTCCTCACATGATGAAGGAATGGAGAATATGATTTTTAAGAAAAGGCTGAAACGTAAATCGATATTTTTCTGTCAATCAGCTGAGATTTCTTTTGCAGAGAAGCTTCATCATCTGTGGCAGTATCGAATCATCCTATATACTTTGTCATCTTTAAAGAGCTGATAGTTAGTGTGCTACATTTTCATTTTTGATTCTTGAGTAGTTGTGAGAAGAACAGCAATTTTCTATTTTATTTAACCCTGCGCACGATAAGCAAAGCCTGAAGACCCATGTTTGTGTGAAGTGGAATGTTGCAAATACTTTCTTTTGTTGATGCACCAGAAAGAAGGAAGGAAGATTTCATTGAACTTAAACTGAGCTAACATTTCAAATTGGGTTCTTCCTGTACTTTCTGATTTGATGCAACTTATTATTTTGTTCAATTCCTTTTTGTTTAATTTTTTTCAAAATTAGTGTTTAATAAATGGTAATGTATGTTATCATTCAACCAATGGCTATCAGGATTTTATGCACCCTTAATTGCAGATATAGAGTAGTATCATTTTAAAATCGATGCATATTTTTTTACATGATGATTTAATATTTGCATATGTTTTTATTGTATTCTGTATAAATCATGCTGCTGTGCTATTTGGGAGCTGTACCAAGCTCAACACTATTGCCGAACTTGGAGGTTAAAATATGCTTCTGACATATGAACACATTTAAGAATCAAAGTTAAGTCTGATGCAACCCAATAAGTGACAAGAATTTTTTTTCTTTTCATTGCTTTAATAAGAATTATGAATTAATTAATTAGTATTAACTTAATTGTATAAGAAAACATTTTACAGATCTTTTTGTTGCCTCAAATCCAGTGGATCAGAATGGAAGACGCTAAGACTTTCATTCAGCAATATGGAGTGCTGTCTCACTTTGCAAATCACGTATAAGACAAGTTGAGTTACTGATTTCTAGAATGTTGGATTGGTAGAACCAGACCCGTCCTGTGCCCTGCAAGAATTTTTAGTGTTATCTACTTACAGTTCTTCCTCTGGGGCTTTGTCAGAAATGAGTTTTAGTGAACGAACAGAGGAGAGAGGAACATTAGAGAGAGGAAGAGTCACACATCATCAGATGTTTTTGCAAAAGTGTAGACTGAAATTGAGTATCTCTATGATACCTGTTATGCAGTCACTGAGCCACATGCTGAAGTTTATTAATCTCATCTATCATGGTTTTGAGTGATCAAATTAATTACTCTCAATTTATATCACTTAATGACATTTCACAAATGCTTCATAAAATAACTTTATTCATTTTTGGAGAACCTATGTTTAGAGTATGCTGCCTGTAAACAGAATGTTTTCCATATCTGCCTCAGTACTTAAGCTTCATCTGCAGGCTGTAGTTGAATCTCTTAATTCACAGTTAGTTAATCATTTAATTCATGTTTTTTTACATACATTATCTGAAATACCTTAATTTTTGACAAGTATTAATTATTCATTAGCATTTTGGTGTGTATTTTTTAGAATGAATGAATCTGATATCTGCATATTAATACACGCCTTTAACCTACATAACGTTAAATTTAAGAGCTTTCTATTTCATAATCAATATACAATTTGATGTTTAATTTTGTTTCTCTCAGTACTAGAAATAAAATACTATATTAGCCTGAATAAAAGAGTGTCTGGCTTATAAAATTATGTTGTAAAGGTTTTTATAAGAAAAAGGAAAAGGCTTAAAGGTATATTCATGTGCATTGATAAACTAAAGGTATTGTGAACTTGTGGAGTAATACAGCATGATGCAATAAATGCAACTCTTATTTAATGCAACTCGTTTGGTATTGCATTTGTTCCAAAGGCAAAAGATTTTCTGTTATGCTAATGCTATACTAAATGCCATTTTTAGTTGTATGCTTCCTATTTAATCTTATATGATTCTTTTTTAATGTAGTATTTAATAATTGCTGCTATTATTTTTATTTTAGTTTTGCACATCTTTTAATAACCTAAGATGCAATAAATATAGTTACTGTTTTGCTACTTTTGATTTTATTTCACATTTCTCCCATTTTTTGAGAGGTGAAAAGGGGGCTTCAGAGATGAAACCAACAAAAGTGAAGAAAAAAATTACTTATAGAAACTAATTACCAAGGGGAGAAAACTTGAAAAAATAAAACTTGACCTGTGTTTGAACTATTCTTTTATTTGGGGGGGGGAGGGGTTACTCATTTATTTTTAGAAATGATTTTATTATTGTTGAAACTTAATGATGTTAATACATGATGTAAATTTTATGTATTATGTATGCTACTTGTTTCATTGTTTTCTTAGTCTTAAAATTCTAAAATATTGCTGTTTTAAATTTATAAACAAATATTTGATTCAGGAATATTTTACAAATTTAGGTATGACCTCATTCTCAAGACTGGATTACCAGACTGGCGAGTTCCAATTTATTATTACAGACGGGTTCGAAATATGGGATTGATAGAACTTACAATATTCTTGTTTTGTTTAGCTACTTTAGCACAGTACCTTTTTGCATGGTCAGCTTACTGGGAGAAAAAATATGAAATTGTGAGTTTCTTTTGTTTTCTATATGAATGTTAAATAAAATGTTTTTATCTATATTTATATGCTGTATAATTTTTGGCTGTAATCTTTTTTTTTAAACCAGCTTTTTTTTACATCTTTGTTGCAGGAAGAAGTTGTTCTATCTAGAATCAGAAAGAAAGCCAAACATCAAAGGAAAGGAAAAAATGCAAAAATTGAAGAAGATGCAACTGTTTCAGAAGTCATGTCTACTTTGCAAAAACCCAGGTTTGTAAGTTTTATTGATATTATATTAATAGTGTACTATGTAACAATATGTCTTAATATAATCTTTATATATATTTCAGAATGAGTAAAAAATTCTTGTGACTTTTTGACAGTTTTAATTTAAACTTAGTTAAACATACATTTCTATGGGAATCATTTACCATTGTTTAATGTATTCCTATAAATTATGTAAAGATATATTATAAGTGTATAACAGTGGCAGATTTTTTTCAACTGGAATTAAACTAATACTAAACAAATGCGGTATTAAGTTACTATTAAAATATTACATTAAAAATGGGTAAAGCTGAGGGTACTGCTGTATATGTTTATGTAAAAAAAAATCTGATGTATACACCACATGACTTCCTTGTACGGAATAATAAATTATACGCGTTTTTTCTTGCATTTCATTTAAACTTATTGGATTGAATTAAATCTACTCCACTGATAGCGCTAAACCACAATAGAATAAATGCATTCTTTAAAATTCACTCTAGTATTTGTTTACCACAGCGACACTCTGGCGCTAGATTCACTTAACAGATTCACTTAATCATATTTCGTTCATATTATAACTCATAATGCACAAAATTTATATCATTTAAAGAATAGAATTATCTAATCGTTGCCACATGTTCTATTCAAATACTATAATAAAGCTAGAATGATAAATAAAAGAAATTAAACAAACAAAACAAAAAAGAAACAGTTTTTCACAGACGAGTGAGTATTTCTCATTCAATTAATTCAGTTCTCACTTCGCGAGAAGGCAAAAATACATAAAAACTCAAAATATCTATATTAAAAATTACGAAGTAAATTTTAATATAGATATTTATAAATTTTAAGATAGATATTCCAGAAAGGATTAAGCATGATTTAATTGGCAATAATAAATGAAGGCGTTATCTTTGTTGTTGCGAAGCTAAGTTACTCTAGATTGGCAACAAATCCACTAGTCTACTATTTCAAATGTAAACAATTAATGGCTGAAATCGAAAGAAAAGGCTTAGCGGCACTTAAACAACTTTAAAATTGTTGATAATTCTAAAAATATTGCACACAGATTTACTAAAGGCATAAAAACCTGAACCGGAAGATAAAAACAACATAATTCAATCATTTTTTAAAGCAAAAAATGTACAAATTACAAACATATAAGAGTAATGAAACTGAGATCACTGAGCCGGGTAACAGAGTGAATATATATATAAATATATTTATATATGTTTGGTGTGGTCGATTGCAACCAAAATACGAGGTGCACATCTACATGTTATAGCAGTCCTATATACAAAATTTCAGCGTTCTGAGGCTACTCATTTTTGAGTTATGCGAGATACGTACGTACATATGTTCGTACAGATGCCATGAAAAGTTCTCTTCAGAATTCATTTTAAAGCAGTTTTATAATTTTTTCGGAGGAAAACGTGTCTTTTATTCTGTCCTTACGTACAGATATCACACAAAAACATCGTTAAATTGCATTCAATAGCGATCAAAATGGATATTTTCAGTGAAATATGCTGCCTGAAACTTTTCGCGATTACAGTACTTTCTTTTTACTTCGTACAAGGAAGTAAAAAAGGGGAGATTTAGTTGCTACTGTGGTTAGGATTAATATGTACATTTATATTCTTTATGTTATGGTAATTACTCCATTTCTGTTTAGGTATTTTATATTTTTTTGTAAACCATTTGTGTGATTGTGTATATGTTTCATTTACAGAGAAGGAAACTAAAAGTAAATTTACTTGTTTTATTGAATTTTATGCATTTAACCCTTAAACACAGAGGTGAGATTTATATGCCCGTGCCAATATTTTAGAAATGTGAAGCTTCTTATAAATTATATAGTTATGCTTCTCCTTTTCAGTACTTTCAAGTTGACACAATATATAACTATTTCTAAATTTTTCTTAAACTGTATCCATTAGTTTTTTTAAAAATAATTTTTAAAATTGGGTTGTGGTCATATAGACCTCATCTCTGCGCTTACATTACTTTTTTTCTGGCATGAGGAGGGAGATGGCTTTATTACTACTTGAGTGTCGAACGTGTACAAAAACTTAACTTTAGAGATTTGACATATGCCGGTACTATGAAAAAAAGGGGAAGGGGGGAGAAATACTAAGTGAAATTTTTCAAAATAAAATGAAAAGTGAAGGATCTTCTCTTTATGCATTCACGGATAAAATGTTCCTCATTTCATATGTGCCTCAAAAATTAAAAAGTGTTATCATTTCAGTTTTTATGACTGCCATTATGAGTGTGAATTGGCATGTTGGGGGAATATTTTTGGCGATTCACTGACATATATGGTTATTTTTTGAATGGGTTCATGGGTTATAATTTGTTTCTGTTTTTAATATAAATGATGTTTGCTTGTTTGCTTGCTCGAGTTTCTAAGCAAGAAGTGAAACATAAGCATTTTGAAATTCATTTTTTCTAATAAAGAGCTTTTAAACAATTTTTTGCTTTTGAGATGTGAATTCTTTTATTAAACAGTTCTAAATTTGACGACTTATCAATATTTTGGCGATTTTAAGATCAGTTTCTATAAAAAAAATTCCGAGATCTGAGAATTTTTCGACGATTTTTTTAAAAAAATATTATATATATATAATATATATATATTTTTAAACATCATATATCATTATAAACATTGATAAATTTCATTAAAATAATGGTAATATATTGTATATTACCATTATATACAAGTATATTTAAAAAATAATATTAAAATAAATCATTTCTATTTTTCTCTGTCATATAAAGTTTCATTTTGGCAACTTATTATACAATATTTTGAATCTGAAAAATAAACAAGGTATAATGCTCTAAAGCACAATGTACGAAACAGCTCTTAGCAAAGGCAAAATTAGCTATGTAATTAATTAAAAATATCTTTTTTTCAATTTTTTCATAGTAAGAGTTTTGGCTAAAGTGCAGAATCGCCCACTTATTTGTTTGGTGCTTTTTACAAGAGTAAAAAGAATTGGATTTTTGTCAATTTTCTTTGACTTTTTAAGTGAAAATAGGTCAATGTGTACATGGATACCGAGTATGTGCAATTAATTAAAAAGGTCTTCTTTTTAGCGGGCGATTCTGCACTTTCCCCAGTAAGTGTTTTTCCCATGTAATTGTCTCAGAATTTTCAAAATTCTCAGAATATGCATCAGTTTTCTCTATAAAATTGAAATTTTCACTTTCCCCCTCCCTTTTTTTTTTCCGAAAATATTTTCTGGCTTTTTTGCTGTTACAGAATTGGTTGGGATAATTTTTCTTTAGGATTTTTGGCATCGCAGCAAGGAAAGTTTAAAGGAATTTGAAGGCAAGATTAATAGACCCATGATTCTAGAAGAATTCGAGAAATATGTGGACAATAATGCGAAAAATGTTCTTACCATTTGAAGAACGTCTGGAAGAACGTAATGGAGGTATTTTAGAGAAAGTTTGCAATGAATTTCTTACTTTTTGGAGAACCTCTGGAAGAACAATGAAAACATAATATTTGAATGTTTTACTTCTGATACTAGAGTCTTAATATGTTTATGTAACCCTTTATTTTCTCTACTTTTCACTAGACTCAAGCGTGGAAAATATCAAAAATGCTTCTAATCTTATCACATGAGCAGGCATTATGGAAAGGAATTTTTTTATTAATAAAGAAATTGAAAACTTATAATTTAAAAGATTCATCTTATATGTTTTAATGCATCATACACATAGCTGGCACTAGGCATTTTCCCATCTGATGCAATCTCTGTGGATCCTAAATTCTGCTGCCTTGTGACTTTCTAAATTCTGCTAGACAAGCAGTGACAAAATTTAGTCTTTTGTTATGAATCATGCTGATTATGATCTTACTTCTCATTTTAACCTATGCTGTTTGAAATAAAATGTACCTGCTATTTACTAAACCACTAGACTGACTAAGTATGTAAGAAAATGAAAAATTTAAAAAAAAAAAAAAAAAATATCATAAAGCTGATTGTTAGTAAAACGTAAATGTCACTTATCTTCTTTCAGATATGTCCAACTATTGTAAGTGTAAAATATTTAATGCTACTTGATAAATTGCTTAACGTTTATTTTATTCTCAAACTTATTAGTAATTATGTTAATTAATTCATGTTTAGTAATAATGCATACTACTTAGGAGAATCTATTTTATTTTTAGGATGGTATTACAAAAGTGAAATTCAGGCATAGATAATATTTTTAATTGAATTTTATTCAGTTCCCATTTGCTCATAGGTCCTTAATTTTTTCATTAATGGTCCTTAACAGTCCTTAAAAGTACTTAATTTCTGTGTGCAGAAATGTGTACAAACTCTGAATCTAGATTCTGTAGATGGAAAATTTATTAAATAATTTAGTTTGTACGCATTTGCAAGTAAGTACTGTTTATTTTACTTATTTGATTAAGTGTTTCATACTTTTTCTTATGCGATTTAAAAATTAATTTTTAATGCATTAGTTTTAGAGTTTTAAAAAGAATTAATTACTTCAATATAACAAGCAAAGTGTATTAATGCTTATATAATAACAATAGTATATTATTTTAAAATTTTATATCTTTTAAAATGCATAAAATAGAGCACGGTCTGAGAGACCCCTCCTCTGTGTTTATGTAACAGAAAATGAACGTCTGTACTTAAGGGTTAAATAATGCAGAAATGTCAGAAATGAATGATGCATTATGAAAGTTTCTTCCACAGTACTTAGAATCAGCACATATCAAATAAGTTTATGAATTGTAGAAATTGGCAAAGGATTCAACATGAGAAATAATAAATAATGATAAGTAGTTGATTTTTTCCTGTCTTGTGAAATATTATTTAGTAAAATGAGTTTCCTTTGAAAAATACCATTGTGAAATGAAAGACTATGAAAAAAAGGGGAAGTATGCTATAATTTCTTTGTAATTTATGTTTACTGTTTTTGTAAGTAATCATATTATAGGAAATAAGATTTATCCTTGTTGAAATGAGTTACAATTTCATTGCAAGTGAATAATGTTAAATCAAGAAGTTCACTCACCATTTTTGCTGTTAAAAAAATTAATTATATGTTTTATTAATTTATTTTGATTTATTTAGCTATCTCATATTACTTAATAGTTTTTATTGATTTTATTTCCAGGTGTCAAGACTTGTTTCCTGTTCGACTATTTTATTTTATGATACATTTAATTAAATCCTCTCCTTCTTATATAGCTACTTGCAGAAATTATTTTAAGCTTCGTAGATCAGTTCAAGAAAAAGAGGAAACTGAAGAAGAACCTCAAGGTAATAATAGTATTGGGTCTATTTGTTACATTAAATTTTTAATTAGGAGTTTAAGTAAAATGTAATACAGTTAAAGTTTGAGTTAATTATCAAGCAGGTAATATAATAATAGCCAATAAAGTAATAGTAAATTTGCGTACTATATTTTTATTGAATCTATTCAAAATTTATACTCTGAGTTGGACCAAAATATTTAATTTTGATAAACATATTGCTGTATTTCATTTATTATAAAAGTGAAGTTTCTGTTTAGAAAATATTCAGAATTCTTTACTATCAAATCTTTAATAATATGTTAACCAGCTGATTTGAACCAATAATTATTTGAATAATAAATGAGTTAAAATTGGATACTCATAGTTTAATTTTTAATACAGATTTAGATCAAACTATATAATTTGATATTTCATAGAATTTCATATAGATTATTATTTAAAATGATATGCATGAATTCTTGTATGGATAGTTGATAAATAAGTGTAGCTAAAATTAACTCTGTTATCAGATTAAGTGGCTTATCTTTATATATTTTCTAATTAATGAGTTTCTTAAACTAAATCTTAGATAATCATATAATTTAAAAAACTGTTTTAGTACAGTTTTTTTTTTAACACTAAAACAGTTTTACTTTTTTTTTTTTTCTTTTTCTTTGTCAGAAACGCGTATTAGGTATAGAAAACAGGTTAAGCCAAAAATTCCTGACTATAGCAGCATTTCATCTTACACTGATTCTTCAAATGGTAGTACTCCTGTTCTGAATGGCATACAAAAGGAGGAAAAAGTGAAGGTGAGGAAATTTGCATATTTTTCTAATGTCAGTTAATTTTTGAAGTTCATTTATACATATTTCACTAATTTATGGTAAAATCAGTATTTACAGTTGCAGGAATTTTTCCATATTTTTGTTTTATTATGGAAAAAATAATTAAAACTGCAAATAGGTATTTATGATAGGAAAATTCTAATTTTTAATTTTTTTATAAATAAGTAGTAATAAATTGCATCAAAACAAAGAAGCATGAAATTTTATTAATTGATTGGAATTTGTTGAAACTGCTTAAATTAAATAAGTTTTTTACAAGAATAATTCTGAAAAAAACTTGATAATTTGTTGATGTATTTGAATGCTGTTGAATCAGATTGGTTTCTTTTAATCTTGAAAGTTTTCATATGCAGAGAGGTAATGTGTGGAGAAAAATTTAAATACTTATTTTGGATTTTGGCATATGTATAAAATACTTACATATATTTAAATCTCATAATCTCATATGGGAATTTGGTTATATTTTCTCATCACAAATCATCTCTCATTATTATATATATAATTATTATTTTGCTCTCCATTCTGTGTAGCAAACTAAGAAATGGTCACTAGAGTCTTTAACTGAACATCAAATTGTAGAATTCAAGAAAGCTATTAAAAAATTTCCCAATGGAACTTTGCAACGATGGGAGAAAGTAGCTGCATATCTTGACTGTTCTGTTTCTGAGGTATATTGAGTTTGCCATTATTTTAATAATAAGTTATCTTTGATGAAGCAAATAGAAACTTGTAAAATTATAACTCATTTCAAATGTATTTCAATAATTTATTTACATTTTAAGGTATTTTATTTTAATATAATTTTGTATTTTTAAATAATTTCTAATATAATCTTTAATTAACAGAACAATTAATTACAGCTTTACTAAGATTCTGGCTACTGCTGCATCTTCAGTGAAAATTATTATAGCTGGGTAATGGATTCATAAAAGAATAGACATAAATTAACTATTTTGTTTTAATGTGTCTTCAGTAGATAAGGTTTTATACCTTATCTATCCGTTTCTTTATTATTTCTTGACTGCGTGAAGATTAATGAGGTAAAAAGGAGGGAGTTGTTTGTTTTTGGGGTGGGAATTGTTCTTAGATTTTCATTGACAGTGGTAGGGAATATAGAGAATGTGTCATGTAAGGACAAAAGCTAGATTTGCCCAAAAAGAGATCATGTATAGGTTATGCAACTACTGAACGGTATCACTGGACACTGGTATTTCAGTTGGGGTTTTGAACCCTGGTGAATGGGCTAGTTGCCTGTGCATTTTCATGGTTTTCCTCATATGTAATGTGTATGTGAGCCCATTTCCCTTAGAAAATCTTCCAAGGAGACATCCCTTCCCTTAGGCCAGAGAAGGGCAAACTTTTTCAGTCGTGGGCCAAAAATAATAATAAAAAAAGTTTGGTGGGCCAAGATATATTTTTCTAAAATTTTAAAAACAATATACAAGTATTACAATTTAAATATGTTAATGAGATGAATGAAATTGTGATTTCATTTTTAAAAGTTCCTTATATTGAGGTTCGAAGTGAGATGTACTGATTCTATGGAACAAGGCTAAATGCTCATCTGTCAGTCTTTAGATGATTGTTAGATTGCAACTCAATAAATTCAAGCTGCAGTTCTGATCTCACTATTTCACAGTTTACATTGAAAGGCATGGTATAAATATCCAATTCTGTTTGAATGGCACTGAAACCTTGAAATATGATGTTCAAACTCAAAATGCACTTTTTTCAAGCCATCTTTATATTTCTTAAGCTTCTTGTCATTTACTAAGGGTATTGAATTTAACCTTGGGAAATGAGACAAGTTGTTCTTAGCCTAGAAGCTCTGCCCAGAAAACAGATTAAGTCTTTAAAAGCTTTGAGATGAGCCCAGATATCCTCAATAAATTGATTTTCCTCTTGCAACTTGACATTCAAGTTGCTCATATGACAAAGAATATCTATGAAAAATGCAATGCCCGAAAGTCATTCTGTATCTTCTAACATTTCACACTCCACAAAGCACTGTTTCTCATGGATAATTGACACAATGTCCTCTTTCAGTTGCTTCTTTGAAGACTGCTGCAGCTTTACTGCAGATGAGACACACTGGTTTCTCTTTTAGAACTGTAAAAAAAATATTTTCAGGTCCATTCAGGGTTAAATGCATGGCACTCTGAATCAACTTTACGTTTTTTAGTAGACATTTTGGGGGTTGAAATATTTTACAAATAACCCAAACAAACACTAACTACGCTATACTTTTAATAATTTCACCATTATTCACAATGATGCTATATGTCCATAGTCTTTCCATATGCAATCAATAATATTAGAACTCGTACCAAAAGAAAAAGCCGCTGGCTGGAGCTTAAAATGTACAGTCTGCCACATGTGAGGTCTAATTCACTTGTAAGGTTTATTCTAAGTTTTTAACAGTTAATGTTTAGCTTAAGACACTTTACTGTCGCTTCTTAATTTCAGCTTACAATTTTTGGCCAGAAAGTGTTTTCAGAATCATGGTTAAATGCAAATGAAGGAAGTTGCAAGTATTTAAAGTTGAAATTCTGCTGACTTCGTTAGAGAGCCAGAGATTCTGAGTAGCGCACGTTCGCCTTTTAGGCTACTCTCTCTCTAAGCTATTTTTACGATATGCCATACTTTAAGCCCTTGATAGCTTCGCCATTTAGTTCACATTAAGGGGCTAACTCTTATAGAATCTTGATACCTTTGGCTATATCTTTTTAGTTAAATTTTATTTCTTAGTATTCCTGAGTTCAAGCCCAAGTGGAGGCTTTGCTCTAAACTCCAAGTAGGAGCCAACTGTTAAATTTATTTTGAATAATAAAGGGTAATTAACCTTTCATACATTTACATTTCTATCTTTTTGAACTAAGCAATTTTTTGCTTACCAGCTCTTCAGGTTCCTCATTTTTAGCTGTAACTTAAAGGTTGGAATCTTACACACCTATATATGATTCCCATATGTCTGTTCCTCGAGAAAAAGATAATGCTTGCTGGTGCCAATCTACAGATATAACTAACAAAGAACTTCCGCTTTAAACATTTTGCCAATTAAAAGCTCTCTGTGCTTGCTGTTTCTGTCGATTTATGTTTTGTAGAACAAAAATAGAGGAAGTAAAAAGATCATCAGTCCTTTGAAAAAAAGGAAGAAAAAATAATATTTAAACAAAGTAGAAAATAAGATGGATATATAATATATAAATATCATTTTCTTTTAATTTGGCTTAGACCTGCAAATTAAAATTCTATTCGCCGGATAGAACCTTCCGGTGGGCCATAGTTGGCCCATCTCTGCCTTAAGCAAATAGCCCACGTGTGCTTTGCCATACTCAAATAAACTAAATCACACCACACCAAAATATAGGTGATGCAAGAAAGAATACTCTTATGTCTGAGAAGGATAATAATCATCCAGAAATGAGTATTGTGTCAAATCATATTTTAGTTTGATGCTGCTAAAGCCATTAGGTAGTGCATTATTATGCTTAAAGAGTGGTGTCACAAGTCAACACACAGAACTATTGTTGATATCATGCCTCAGGTAATATTTGTTATGTCTCTGGCAAGTGATTCTTGTTATTTTATAATGGACAAATAGCAATATGGAAGCTTATTGAATGAATGATGCTTTCATTTGTTTTGAGCATCTGTGTATTCATGTATAGAGAAAGTGCTCCATGTTACGTATCCTTCCTGTCAGCAATGTGTGCAAATTAGTGATTGCTTTGTCATAGTGTGAGGTTGGTGAATGTGCCACGGTTGGGCAAATAACCCTTTGGAATGTGCCATGAACTCATTGTAGATTTTTTCTACTACTTCATGAATATGTTTATATTTAATCTTGATTTACACCAGTGGGATAGTACTAATTTTGTTTTGCATGGGTGACATAGAACTGTAGTGAACAACACTATGTGAATTTTCAGATACTCTGCTAGTTTTCATGCTGTCCAAATTAAAACCCATTGAGCATTTTGCAGGTAATGCAGATCTCATTGAATGTCATTCAGTAAACACAGAGAGTCACAATGATAAACTTAGACTGCATCAGACTTTTGAAATATACTCATTAAATCTTCAATAGTAACTGCAATACTGACGTACTGTAGATTTACATAATGTATTTTTTATGTGTGCTTTATGTTTTGTCCATTCACTTTACATAATTTTATATAATTATTAAAGCTTTTAATGTGTTTAATTTTCAGGGATTGTCATTTGAATAAGTGATTGTAAATGCATTATTTTTATGATAGATCAGCGAAAGGATTATGGTACATTAAGAATTAATAATAATTATTTTAAATATATTGAAAATCTTCTGCTTTGTTAACTACCATATTATTTTATTTATTTATTTTTAACAAAGCCGTAAATAAAACGAAAGATATTTTTCTCATTATATATGCAATGAAATGTGTATTTATTATTTTTTTCTGAATGTTCATAGGTTGTTACAATGATCAAACAGTTGAAGAATGAACAGTTTTCTAAGAACGTACCCCTTTCTATGCAGGGTAAAGTAAATTGCTCTGAAACTTTTATAGTAGCATTTTTTTTTATCTCATTTGGTAAGCCTCAGAATTGCTTATTAGTTTTTAGACATAATCTTAGTCATAAGTTCAGTTATTTTACTTTCTCAACTGGGAGGCTTTAATGAAAATATATGCATGGGAGATATATTACAAAACATTTATATATTTGACCCAGAATATAAGGTATCAAGGAAAGATCTGGATCAAGACAGTATTTTGAGAAAGATTAGAGCTATGTCCTTTTATGTATAATGAATCCTATATCAAAAAGTTCACATTGGAAGAAAGTAATGACAGAACATGTTCATGGATATCACTGCATTACCATGCATTAAGATAAGTTTAGGTAGCTGAAGCTCTCTTTCTTTCTTTCCTTTTATGAAGTAAAGGAAGTATTGTAATTACGGAAAAATTTCAGGTATCATATTTCGACGAAAATATTCATCTTGACCACTATCATCGAATGCAAGTTAACGCTGTTTTTGCATGACATCTGTACGTAAGGATAGAATAAAGGGCTTTTTTCTCCCAAATGAATTATAAAACTGATTTAATATGCAGTTGGGCACCTCCCTTTTTGGTAGCAATTTGAGGCACCAAAAGTATATATATATATATATATTGAATTAATTAATTGAAATTCATTGAAATCTAAATAATTTTTTTATATTTACACATAGCTGCAAAGTAAGATAATAATTTATTTACTAATGTAATATTGATTATATTGTTAGTAGAATGTATCTAAATGAAGTGACCCAGAGATATGAAATTTAATACCGAAAATAATATTTTTAAAGTAACTTGGATTTAAATAATAAAAATAGAAATGCTAACTTTTAATATGAAAATTAATAAACCAAGTAATTATCATCATTGATTGGAAATTGGTTCACTTTTCAAGCAGAAGAAACTAACCCCTGTTCAGTTAACAATAATTAATAAATGCGAAAGTGTTTCGTCTTTTACTGAGGTGAGAATGATGATACCATACTTGCAATTTTAGTTAAGGCCAAAATTGTAGTTGAGTTTTAATTCAATTAGTTAGATGAAAGAGATGAATTAAAATAAAGCACTATAAAGAATTCATTTGAATGCAGCAGTTTCGTTAAGTTAATGGATTATTTTTAGAAATCTTGAGGTATTATAGCCAAATTGAGTAGAGTACAGTCAAATACCGAAAATCCGCCGACCTGAAATCCGCCAACTCCTGAAATCCGTGTTGCCTCTCAAAACATAAACATTCAGGTTATAGGTTCCGGAAACCGCAACATTGAGTTCGAAATATCGAAGAAAAAATACTTACCAAATAATGACATCATAATTACCAAATAATAATGAGTCATAACGGAAATACCAAATTATTGACATAAAAAAAGTTAAAAAAATAAGATAAAAGTTTTTTTTCCTCTCTAATCTGCATCGAGGTAAAAAAGCAGACGATTCACTGACAACTCTTCGTTCAAGTTCACAATTCACGTTATTGTATTTTCTGAGCTTTGTTATTTCACGAGATTGTTTAGTGCTGTCTTTTTTTTTATCCGGATATTTTGTGGATAAATTAAGAATATTTTAAATTTCAGCTCTTTTTAATACAATGACAGATAAGAAACACACTCATGATTTTATGGCCAATGCCAATGATTACAAGTTACGGAGTGCCTATGGTTCAAAACCATGTACCTCCACATCAGAAAAATATCTAAGTAGTGAGCAGAAATATGAAATTTGCATAATTGGTTATATGATGCACACT